AATGGGTGTTCCCCCTCGGCAAACACTGTCCAACTCTCGGTGAGAAATATGAGAAATAGCGACGGTGGTTGCTGCGCCGTGACGTGAAACATGGACGCACCAACTTTTTCTTCGTTGCTGCACTGCGAGGGACGCAGTACGGATAAAGCAAAAGGAACATTCGACAGTTCGCGCATAAATTCTTGACAGAGTACGCCCGGTGCTCCGCACTGCGGTCGAGTGCGGGTACGAAATCACGCTGCAGGGCCGCGGTCTCGGCTTGGAATTAGTTTCGCGCACGTTGGCAACGGTGGGAAATCGGTGCGGGAACCGTGGAAGTCAAGTCGCCACCTCGACTGGCACACCGTGTTGGCCGTGCTGGCCCCTGCCGCCCCGTCTTCGCTCCTAATTGGCTGCGGTCCGTCTCTGTGTGGGGGCGGACCCTCAGCTCTCTCTCTCTCTCTCTCTCTCTCTCTCTCTCTCTCTCTCTCTCTCTCTCTCTCTCTCTCTCTCTCTCTCTCTCTCCCCTGATGAGACAGGAGTGCCCCTGTTAGCCTATTTGCCGGCGGTTGCGTCTTACTGCACCGCAACCATGCATGTTTAATGAGGCCATCAGGGCGCCATCCCGTTTGGCCGGGGGAACGTCCCCCCCCCCCGCAAATCCAAACACGCGGTGTCGCTGGCTTTCTCTCCCACGCTACCCCCCGCCACCTAGCCGCCGCCGCTCCTGTGGGGAGACTGCGGGCTGAAAGATTGCTAACAGAAAACACCGAACGTTTTCTTTTTTCATAAAATAAAGCACCACTTTTGGCTCGTGACTTTGCAAACACATTTCGTTCCCGAGGAGGGATCAAAGAGAACGACGTCGGCTGACTGAGGCACGAGTGACGTCTGTTCCCGGCGGGGCGGTCTAGCGCGTTCGGCCGCCGCGCTGTGGGGCGTTTCTAATCAATGCGGCGGATTCGGCGTGGGATACTCGTCAGCCGCAGCCCGGAGTCGGCGGCGGCGGCGGTTGGGTCCGGTGCGGTCCGGTGCGGACCGGGAGCTTTGCGCATTCAAACCACAGCCGGGGGCGACCCGCCAACGGACCAATCAGAGGCCGAAAAAGGGCATTCGGGAAACGGGTCGGCGGCCCGGCCGGGCCCCTTCCAGACCGTTCCGGACTGTTTCCAGACTGTTCGCGACGGAAAGGTGAGCGCCGAGTCGACAAGTCCGGAATGCTAAACGGTACGTGACGGGGCTGCGCGATCATCGCCAGGCCCCATCGACTCAAATTCCCATTCCTTTTTTCCCCACCCTCCCTCGCTGTCTCCTTTTTTGTCTCGTTTTGACTTCGCTGCTGAAAGCCAGGTGAAAATTGGCGGGTGGGAGGCAGGAAGCCGATTCGGACGGGACACTGCCAAAGGTCTCCCTTCTCTGGGCAAAGGCGAGCACTTTTTTTCCACCACGTCACCGTTTAACAGATTTGTTCTGGAAGCGGATCGGCCTGTCTTCCTCACCCCACCGTCCCCGAGGACCCAGGGGCTCACACACTGTAATCCCCCCAGACCGACCTGTTGCCCCCCCCTGTCATCATCAACCAGCTGCAGGCCAGACGGGGCAGACGCCGCAATGATTGGTATTGTTTGCTCCTCGCCGTATGACGAGGCAGACACGAAACGAGGACCTTATCGGGCGCTATTCTTGGAAAAGTTGACACAACCTCACGCCGCGGACACCGCGGACGCCGCGGGGCCCTCAACTCTGACCTATGGAATCGTCATGGAACACGGGGCAGTGCCTTGCCCGAGGCTTTGCCCCTCCCCCCGCCCCATCAAACATTTCATTTCGGAGGCACGCGACAATGGACAAGCCTGTCGAAACGACGGCGTGGTGGTGCCGTGTGTATAGTAGTGTAGGCCCGGGTCGAGCCGTTCGATACATCGATCCATCGACGTCGACCTATCGCAGCCACCGCCAGGACAAGTGCTTGGCGCGAAAAGAGCTGGGCGCCTGGCCTGCCTCAAGCTACAGCGACCATGTAAGAAAAAGATTCAGTCTGTGGGTGTATCCGAGGGAGCGCCTGTGAAGTCGAGGGTAGGCCAGCCCGCCGTACCGCCGAGTGCCTCTCCGACAGCGGCTGCCTGCTGCCCGGGGGCTCTTTGCTGTCTCTCATCTTTCTCTCTTGGAGAGTCCACACTCCAACACCCCTTTCAGTGAGGCCTTCCATTTTTGACGGTTTTTTTTTTTTTTGTTTGGCTTTTTATTTTCTCCGAGAGACTTCTGAACCGCGGAGGGAAGCCCGAGAGTCGGGTAGAGCAACAGGCTCGCATGACAACTCTCCATCAGTGCTTCCCCCTCCCCCTCCCCCCCCCTCCGGCCACGCCACGTCGCCACAGGGATGATGACCTCCCCTTTACATAAAAAAGTAAATAAAGTAGACCACCGCCTTTTTGTTTCACACTGCTTTCATTAGCCTTCGTCTCTTGTGCTTTGTCTTGTAGCTTTTTTTTCTGGCACTATCCTGGTGGCTGATAGTATGCTGAAATAATAAACCATTATCAAAAATATAAATTCAGCTGACGATGAGAGATGAAATGCACGAAAAGAGGCATGCGCTGCGAAATTCAAGGTCATTAACGTATTCTCTCGATTGTTTCCCTTGTTGTCGGAAGCATCAGATAAAGTTCCCGAAATAAAGGGCAGACTCGAATCAGACAGTCAGACAGACAGACAGACAGACAGACAGACAGACAGACAGACAGACAGACAGACAGACAGACAGACAGACAGGGCGACAGACAGGCTAATTGTTCGGGTCGACGTGCGCTGCGTGTCCGCATCACCTTCCCCTCCCCTTCCCGTCATCGGCCAGCCAATCAGCGGTCGACCAGGCCACTGCACGTCCAGCAGAGTGGTCGGTCGTGGTGCTTCCTTTGCTGCGTCGTCGGCCCGAACAGCGCTCCGTCTCTGTCGCACACACGAGACGACCCGTGAGTGCGAGAGAGGCAGAGCGGAATGATGGGTAACTGCACCGCCAGCCGTGGGCAGATAACCTGCTTCGGCAGCCTGCTGCGGAGGCGTCGCTCTGTCTCTGTCGCACTCGCAGGCCGGGCCTCGGCGTGCGAGAGAGACAGAGCGCTGCCGGGGGATGGACCGGGATGGGCCGGCCGGTCATGCATTATGCATGCAGCCCCGGGCTGCCTGCCTGCCTGGCTGGCTGCCTGCCTTGGGACCGGGCGCCGTGCCGCCATGCATGTAGCGGAGTGTCTTGGCCGGGCCGCGCGGCGCTGCGTAAAGGCAAACACTTTGCCAGCCAGCCGGGCCCTGGCCCCCCTGGCCGTGCGTGCGGGGCGCTCTGCGTCTCTGTCGCACCCACTGCGGCCCAGCCATGCCGGCGATGCGAGTGACAGAGACGGAAGATGGTTCCGGGCGCGGCGCGGGGCGAGGCATTCAAAGGAAATGAGACCGACCCGACCGCGCGCCCCAGCGCCACCGAGTGCTGAGCGTGCCTGGCTGCCAGCCCCGTCCGACCCGCCAGCCCCTAACGCCGAAAAGTTAACCTAAAGGACCTCTGTTCGGGGTAACGCGGCAAGGCGCGGCGAGGTGAGGTGGACCTGCTGAAGTGCTGTGAGGCGAACGCCCGCGCGAGGGGGCGTCGCTTCGGGTTCGCTACACTGTACCCGCCACGCTGCAGTCGCCTGCAGCCCCACCCCGGCCCCTTCGGTGCAAGCTGCACTAGAAGCAACCATGGCATTGCGGCGCTGCCGTGGAGCTTTCCCTAAGAGCAGACGCACCACAGCTTCGTTCCATAAATAAAGAATGAAAAGAACAACGACGTTTATTGCAAATTCAGTGTCCCAAAGTTAAACGCGTTCTCTCTCCTTTCCTCGCGGCACACCGCGGCGACCAACGAGGAGCGAGAGAGGCAGACTGAGGAGAAAAGGGGGAAATGGAAATGACAAAAATGGGGCGAAACGAAAACAAGGCAGGGCTCTGCACGGCCGAGTGCCCCAGAGCTCGTCCCAGGGCTCGGCCGTTCCCGCAATGTAAACGTGTTGCGGGGGATCATCCGGGGCGGGGCGGGGCGGGGGGCGGGGCGGGGCGGGGCGGGGCGGGGGCGGGGTGGGGCGTGTGGGTAGAGCACACCACTGGCCGGCCCGATCCCGAACAGTCTCTCTCGCACTCTCGGCGCGCCCCGCTCGCGCGCGACAGAGACGGAGAGACCCTGTTCCGGAGCGAGCCGCCGGGCCGGGCCCCATATTGCGTCGTCGCTTCATAATTGAATGCGGGCAGCGCCACGGGCGGCTGCCAGCTCTGCCAGGGCGGCCGGCCGGGGCCGACACTCTCGCCTTCGTTGGGGCAGGCCGCGGCGCGGGGCGGGGCCTGCATGTTCTGTCTCTCTCGCACCCCTACGGGACGCCCTGCGAGTGCGAGAGAGACAGAGCGACGAGGGCGCCGTTCGGAGTCAGCGCGCAGGGCGTGAGGCGCGAGGCCCCCCGCAGGCGAGGACGTCCATCATCGCCTGCTTAGCGAAACACAGAGCCAAATTCTATAGTGTGGCGGACCTACAAGGGGCTCAGCGAGGGGCGGCCTCTGCGTCCAACGTAGGCCGGGCAACCGCACTCCTCCGCGTGCACTACAAACCCAACTGTCTACTTAGTACACACTTACAATGCACGCTTGCAAGTACACACTTACATACGCGCGCTTGGCGCCGTATGAACTCCATGCTAAGCATAGGCGTTTGTATGTGTGTACTTGCAAGCATGCATCTGTAAGTGTGTCCTTCGTAGACAGTTAGGTTTGCAGTGTGACAGTTGCTTTGATGTGCTGATTCTGTAGCGGGAGGCGCCTGCGAAGTCGAGGGTAGGCACCCCGCCGCACTCCCGAGTACGGCGGCCCACGTCCATTACCATTACCATTACGGGCTAGACCACTACTGATCGTAGGCGGCCAGCCTCCATCCCCCAGCGCCCCGTTTCGTGTCGTTTTGTCGCTTCGGCGTTGCTGACGTGTTCGTGTTTCTCTGTCCGTTGCAGCCGAGGCGTGCCACCCGTACGAGCCGTTCAAGTGCCCCGGGGACGGCGCCTGCATCTCCATCCAGTACCTGTGCGACGGCGCGCCCGACTGCCCGGACGGCTACGACGAGGACTCCAAGCTGTGCACGGCCGGTGAGTTGTTTGACCTTCCTCCCAAAAAAAAAAACTTTGAAAAACAACAAAAACATCGAGGTACCGTGGTCAGGGGACTCGAAAAAACGAGAATTAATGTTTGGCGCAAGCAGGAGCGCCCCCGTGGAAAGGTAGATACCTTTCTGTACCTTATGCAAGGCAACGCGAAAAAATACGCCCTATGCAGACACCCCGAAAAAGGAGGAAAAGACCGCGCGGTAGGGCTTTGCAGGGCTTTGACACCACGCACACAGACACACACACACACACACACGCGCGCACACACACACACCCACAACGCCCAGACCGCCTCGCTCCTCCGCGGATGACGGAATGTCGAGTGAAGCCCGAGTGGACTCGTCTGAAGGGGTCTCAAGCTCGCGCGACTCACACCTGCCCCGCCTGGTGACGCCACAATGTGTGTGTGAGCGTGTGTGTGTGCGTGTGTGTGTGTGTGTGTGTGTGTGTGTGTGTGTGTGTGTGTGTGTGTGTGTGTGTGTGTTTGCGCGTGTGCGTGCGCGAGAGGAAGGCATGCGTGTAAAACAGATGGAGAAACACAAAAGGCTGACGCCCAAAATGAAAAGTGGTGGGGGTGAAGAAGCAGAGGGCGGCGTCGAGCAGTGGAGTTGTTGCTCGGCGCTGCGCCGTGTCTGCACCGTGTCGACGACGGCGCCGGGGTGGGGGTGGGTGGTGGCCCTGCTGGCAGAACGAAGGCGCGAGGCGAGGCGAGCACCGATTCGCTTTCGGATGAAATATGCACCACGCCGTGGAGGCACGGCGCGGCGGGAGCCACCAGCAAGCCCGCAGCCCGCACGCCGCCGCCGCTCCGCTCGGGGTCGTTTGAATTTGGCGCCGGTTTGGGCTTCGGACCGAGGAATGACGCTTCCGGGAGTCGCGCCGCTTCACGCCAGCGAGGCCGTGGCGCCTAGTGGCGCCGTGGCCTCTACCTCCCTCCCTCCGGCATGGCGCGGAGCCCCGGGTGCGAGAGAGACGCTGCGGCAGTAAAGGACTAACGGAATGGCCTCATGAATATTGCAGTGGCGCCGATGGACCGAATTATGCGTCCCGGCCGGGGAGATGCGCGCCAGGAAAGTGGGGGTTCGCCGCGGACCTGGAAGGGGGAGACGGCGGGGAAGGGTCGCTCGGAAATCCACTCCCTTAGCAGACGGTTGCTGTGTCCGGCCAGATGGTCAGTCCCTTGCAGGATTCCGTCGACGGGGTGGCTAGCTGGCTTGCTCGTGGTGGAGGCTCGTCTCGTACCCGGTGGGTGCGTCAGGGTGACCCCAGCACTGCCCCAGCACTGCCCCAGCACTGCCCCAGCACTGCCCCAGCACTGCCCCAGCACTGCCCCAACACCTGGCAACCGGTGCAATAACACTCTGGCCATATGGCGGCCTCGCCTCTTGCAGCGAACGCCGCAATTTCGCCGGGTCGCCATGACACTGGAGGTGAAAGGTACAGAGAGGTGCCATTATTTACCCTCCGTACTGGCCGGGCTGGGGGGGGGGGGGGGGGTGGTGGGCGCACGCCAAGGCCGGAAGCCTTCGCCATCAGGGCGGAGCTCCATCTCTCTCGCACTCATTCGCCGTCCCGGGGGAGCGGAGAGAGAGAGAGAGAGAGAGAGAGAGAGAGAGAGAGAGAGAGAGAGAGAGAGAGAGAGAGAGAGAACCACGGTTCGGAACCGTCGTGAAACGTTGATGAAACCGGCAGCGGCGTCGGGCCGTCCGCCCCGCGGGGATCCGCGTCGAGGCTTCGGCGCCGAGCTTTGCGCGCTTTGCTCGCTTCGCGGCGAGCTTCGCGGCGAGCTTCGCGTGCTTTGCGAGGCCGCGGTCTCGGGTCGAGACACCCAGTCCAGTGCTGCCACCTGTTGCGGCGGGGCGCGCGTGGCGCCAGGGCTGCCAACCCCCGCCCCGCCCCGCCCTCACGTCGGCCCGTTTGTCACGGCCTGCTCGCCGAAGAGGCCCTTCCCGCCCTTCACCGTCAACGAGTTTTCGCGCCAAAGGGATTAGGTGGCCCATTACGGTGGCGCGGGCGGAACTAGGGCAGCCGAAGCGCGCCAAGCGTCACGAAATTCAAAACGGAAACTTTCAGGAACATTCGATCTTTTTATTTGTTCGTAATTTTTTTAAATGAAAGTTTGATGTCTTTTTGAAGCTGTGAATGTTTACGTTCACGATTATTTAGGATCTTCGGTTATATGATCTTCTCCGCAGGCGAGAGGTGTGTGAGAGAGAGAGAGAGGGGGGGGAGGCCTCCCCCCGCAGGCTGTACTGCGCTGCGGGCCGATGCTGGGGTTCTCTCCGGGGAGCCCCCCCCCCCTCCCCCCAACACAGGCCTCGTAACGGCCCGTAATAGGGATGTATGGAAATTGCAGCCCCGCGGCCCCGCGTTTAATGGAGTTAATTTGGCGTGTGAGTGTCGCTCAGCCCGACGGAGTGCAGAGCGGAGTGGCGGAGGAGGGAGGCTCCGTATCAACAGTGTGGGCGCCACTCGATCTGGGGCCGCGCAATGCAGGCCGTGCAGGCCGTGCAGGCCACTCGCTAGCAGTGCCTCGAGGAGTGCCGCGCAGAGATCGGCCTGTCTCGCCACTCTTCTCGTGTACATTTTTTCTGATCTAATTTTTTTGTTTGCACAGCTAGGCCTACTCTACCATTTCACAAGAACTAATCTGATTGAAACCGAGATTTTTCTAACGTTGTTGTTGGTGTTTCGTTTAGCTGTTGTTTTTTTAATGAGCGCTGCATATGCTGCCAGACACGCGACCATAGGGTCACTGTTCTCACCGGGAAATAAAACACCTGCGACATCGACGCAGCCAGTGCACCTGCACGGCGCACGCGACTCTCGACGCCAATTACTGTCACTGTAAAAAAAAATCGCAAAATGAATGTGTTTTTTTAATGTTGCAGCCAAGCGGCCACCAGTGGAGGAGACGGCGAGCTTCCTGCAGTCGCTGCTGGCGAGCCACGGCCCCAACTACCTGGAGAAGCTGTTCGGAAGCAAGGCCCGGGACGCGCTGGGGCCGCTGGGCGGCGTGGAGAAGGTGGCCATCACGCTCTCGGGTAAGGCCTTTTTTCAAGTTTGCATTTTTTTTAAAACGAAAACGACAACTAGTGCACATCGATTCATCGATTCGAAAAAGGCCAATTATCCCGGGCACTTCTTGGACTATCGCACTTGGAGCAAAGTTTTGGCGTTCCGGTCGTGCGAGATGAAAGCGGCCATTGAGGTACATGGCTTCCTTTGGCGCTCTTCGAACCACGGCGCCACGCGCCACTGCCTCCGGAAGCACACAGGCCGTTGAAAACGAAACCACTCGACGCCGCCAAGCCGCTCCGGCCCACACGACTCGCGCAGTGAATTATATTTATTTCTCTCCCTTCCAGTGGGACTTCGTTATTTGGTTTATTACTGGTGGCCCACGCCGAGCCCTGGCCCCCGGCTGCCCCTGGCCTGGCATTATTTGATTGGATGACCCTCGCAACGGAATGGAGGCTGAATTATGATCGATCGACCGGGTAGGGCTTCGCTGGGGTTCAACAATCGTCTGGGTTCGGATCCCGCGGGGATGAACAACCCACGAGCGAGAGAGATCAGAGTCAACAAAAGAGTTGTTTTCCTGGCCTAAGAGCAGAACTCGTTTTACCAAACTCAATGAGAAAACGTCCAATTTTTTTTTCATTATCTCATTAGAGACTAAGGCTAACGAGTGACGTCATCGCGTCCGGCCCGCGGCTTGGCCGGCTTGGCCTACAAATCGGGCTCAGCCTTGATCCCACCCCCGCAGTGTCGTTACGAGTTCGCCCCTCATCCGGCGGAACTCGTAAACCGCCGTACCTGCACTGTAAAAGCCTTTACGGCGCCAATCCGTCTTGGCGCGTGAGTCGCGGCGGCTTCATCTCGGCGTGCACACCGCGGAAAGAAAAAGAGATACAAAAAAACAAGAGCAGGCTTCGTGGGGTTGGTCAGCCTGTTGTATTCTTTTGGCGCGAAATTTCCCGCGCGAAATTTCCGGCGCGAAATTGGCGGCGGTGGTGCCGGGCACGTGTGACTGCAGCTCGCTCGCTGGGGTTGTTTCCGCGGAAACGGCATAAACAAAACATGCGGCGCTGCCGCGGTAAAGTCCCCCCGCTGTCCGCGTTTGCCTGTTGCCTGCTTGTTCGCGGCCTGGCGGGCCAGGCGGGCCAGGCCAGGCAATAAAGAGGACTTCCAGGTAATGGCTGCTCGTCGGCCACGCTGGCCGCGTAGCGCCGCGCAGTGAAGGGCCGTCCTTCGAGGCCGGATTAAAAGTTGGCGCGCGAGCCGTGCCGCGACAGGGTGGCCAACTCCGGGGAAGAAAAGGCGGCGTGGTGTGGGTTGCCAACTGTCTTTGTGTGAGAGAGAGGGTTAGAGTCTAACAGAAAATTCAATTTCATTGGGGGTCCTGTTGATTGATATATAGTCATGGTGTCGTTCGGCTTAGTCTCGCAGTGAAAAAGCCCGATGGAATGCGTCAGTTTGGACGTCCCAACCTCCCTCGTGCTGCCGCGGGAAACGCCGTCCAAGGTGCGTCCCGTGTAAATGTAATTCGCGACAGATTCGGGTCGCCGCTGTGGCTGTGGCGCCCGGCCCCGCAAATTCGCTGCAAGCTGCATGTCGAAACTGGCTCACGTGCAACAGCTGGGCCGGGACGGCCCGGACCGGCACGGCAACCTCGCGCCACCCCCTTAGGGTGTAGGGCGGTCGGGCGGGCAGGGCCGGCAGGGTGGGGGGCACTAAAAGAAATAAGCCGCTCCAGAAATCCTTTCTTTCCATTATGGCGCTCCACATTTCCCAGCACTTTTTCCCTCTCTTTATCTCTCTCGAGCCTGCGCGCCGCCCCCTCTGCACGATAACACACGGGCACAAACAGAGACGCCTCCCACGAGATACAACAACTGCGATATTAACAACAACAACAACAATCTGAACAAGAAGAAAAGAGCGAAGGCAGCCATATCGTCCGAAGAGGCGGCCAATCGGAATGGCCGTCGTTACTCATGGCGGCCTCCACGGCCTCCGCAGCCTCCACGGCCTCCACGGCCTCCACGGCCTCCACGGCCTCCACGGCCTCCACGGCCTCCACGGCCTCCACGGCCTCCACGGGGACGCGGAGGCGGGGAGAGCGAGAAAGGGATGCGGAAAGGGAGCGGATGTCGGCCCGGAGGTCACCAATAACTGTCCCCGCGTCATCATTCTTGCCGAATCTGCCGGGCCTGCGCCGCTCTCCTGCACGTCGCGCGAGGGAAAGAGAGCGCGGGGAAATTGAATAAAAATGGAGCATCAAATACGCGTTTCTGGTAGGAAGGGGGACGCGGACGGAATTCGGAAACGAAAAAGTTTCGCCACCGACCACGCAGTCAGGCGGACCCATTCCCCGTGCCGTGCCGTGGGAAAATGGGAAAATGGTCGGCCTGCCGATACTCCCGGCGCCGAGTCTTTTGCGCGCGGAGTAGCGACGCGTTGCTTCTTTTGCCGTCGGCGACGCCCTTTCGGCTCCTACACTACCGTCGTGTCAACATGCTGCACAAACCGGAACCGGGGCGAACAGCGAGCCCTCCAATGGCCTTTAGACGCGGTGGACCCCCGCTCGGCTTTGTTCTCACTACAGTGGCGTGGCTCGCGTTGCTCGCGTTGCCCCGCCTCTAGCCTTCGCCCCGCCTGTTGCGCGGCCTTGCTCGCCTCGGGCCTGGGACTCGGGGCCTCGACCACCAGCCCGCCGCCCGCACGCCCTTGAGGGGTCTTTCCGTCAAAGTACCGCTTCATTGTCCTCTGTGTACCGTTCCTTTCTATTTGCCCGGCCCTCGCCAACGCAGCGCCCGGCAGCCAGGCAGCCAGCCCGGCAGCCAGGCAGGCAGCCAGCCTGCGTGGTAGGCCGGCCGTAGCCTTGAGTGCGCTGTGTGTTGCCTACCCTCACCACGACAGGCGCTCCGATCTGTTCGGTGTCCTCAATCTTTCCTCGAAATGGCACCGGCGCCCACGCTCGCTCCGCTCCTCTTCGGCGTCACGCATCCGTGTCGTTTCCGCGAATGCGCACGGACCTGCATTCGGACAGAATGGGAATGGGCGGCCCCAGGGAGGGCTGGCCCCTAACTCGCTGTGTAAGGGACGGTGGTTTCATGTGGGCGGGGGCGCGGGCGCACGAGCGTGCGTGCGTGATTGCACGGGATGTTTGTGTCTGTGTGAGTGTGCGTGAGTGCCCCGCTGCAGCGGCGGCGCGCAGCGGTGGTGCTGTCCCTCGCCGCCCCGCGCTACACTACAAGCGACACTACAAGCAGCGTACCAGCGCCATGGTTAGGGGCGGTCCCACCCCATCCGCCTACCGCTACACGCTGCGAGGCAGCTTCCCCGCTACCCGCTCCATAATTCAGCGGATTCAGACGCCCAGTCACGGCCGTGCACTCCCCCCACGCTCTGTGTCCAGTTTTGCCCCCCCCCCCCCCCCCGCCCGAGAGAGATGAGAGAGAGAGAGAGAGAGAGAGAGAGAGAGAGAGAGAGAGAGAGAGAGAGATACGCCACTTTAATCTCGGCTATCGCGATCGCGTTCGTTCACTTCCCAGAACGGGGATCCTCTTCTTCTTCTCCTTGTTTTACCTTCTCCCCCTTCTCCTTTTTATTCTCCTCCGATCCCTCACACGGGCGTGCTGTCCTCGCCGTCAGGGTGGCGGCAGGTCCACAAGGCCTTCCCTGCGACGTGCTCACCGGGCCGCCTGGCTTAGTCTCCACGGACCGCGGCCCTTCGTGTGTGTGTGTGAGAGAGAGTGTGTGTGTGTGTGTCTGTTTAGGTGTGTGTGTGTGCGTGTGGCGTGTAGAGTCCAGGTGACAGTCCGCTGGGAAGCGCCCAAACCAACAACACCTTCTCACAAGACGTTGCGTACAGCGTTCCTGAGGGACGCCTCCAGGACGCCTCCAGGACGAGGACGGCCCGTCACGCCGCCTCGGGCCGCCCAGCAAACCCTGTAGTCCTGCAGGACCAGTAGGACTAGCAGGACTCGCAAACCCCAGGCCAGGCTCGGGCTGGCCAGGGCAGACAGGCAGAAATATCTGCCGGGGCCTTCGGGTTTGGGACCAGTAACGTCACAAAGTTGGTCAAAGAGTGACTGAATCTCCGAAAGTAGCCGTTTTCGCTGATTTTGAGCGGCCACTGCGTCCGATCTAGTTGCGGCCAACGGCCTACCTCGACGCCCTAGTATTCTTAAGACCCTACTATTTCATGCCTTGTATCGGGAAGACGTTGACCACAACGATTTTGGCTTTGACCGCAACGATTTTCCGACCAAGTTTGACCAAAGTGGTCGAATCTCGGAAATTTGCTGATTTTGCTGACTTTGGGCGGCCACTGTGTCCAATCTAGTTGCCGTAAAAGGCCTCCCTCGACGCCCTAGTATTCTTAAGACCCTACTCTTTCATGCCCTGTATCGGGAAGACGTTGACCACAACGATTTTGGCTTTGACCGCAACGATTTTCCGACCAAGTTTGACCAAAGTGGTCGAATCTCGGAAATTTGCTGATTTTGCTGACTTTGGGCGGCCACTGTGTCCAATGTAGTTGCCGTAAAAGGCCTCCCTCGACGCCCTAGTATTCTTAAGACCCTGCTCTTTCATGCCCTGTATCGGGAAGACGTTGACCACAACGATATTGGCTTTGACCGCAACGATTTTCCGACCAAGTTCGACCAAAGTGGTCGCATCTCGGAAATTTGCTGATTTTGCTGACTTTGGGCGGCCACTGTGTCCAATGTAGTTGCCGTAAAAGGCCTCCCTCGACGCCCTAGTATTCTTAAGACCCTGCTCTTTCATGCCCTGTATCGGGAAGGCTATTGACCGCAACTAGTTTGGGAGCGGTAGCCTCACAAAGTTGGTCATGAAGGGTAAAAACAATTATGATCGGGGGCCTTTTGCGGTCTTATCCGCTGGGGCCTTTTGGGGGCCAGTACGAGCCTGCCCCAGGCACGGCCGAGTGGGCGGTACGGCGGAAGTAACACCCCCTTGGCGAACACGGCCTTGGTGACCTTGACAGCGGTCAGCACCGGGAGGAGAGAATGTCCGACCACATTTTCCGATTTCCCAATTTCCCCCTTCCGGGAACGCCTTCCGGGAAGTGTGAAGGCGAGGCGCGATCCGGTACATCGACCTCCGCCCAGCCCAACATGTGCCTCGTAAAGTGCGAACCCCCCGACTCCGTTACTTTCGGAAAATGACACCGTTAGGCATGGCAGGGCGGCGTTTCAGCAGTTTTAGCGGTGCGAGCGAGAACGCCAGCCGGCCAGTGAGTGCGACAGAGTCAGCGCCCCAGAAGGTGAAGCTGCGGGTAATTTTCTCCGTCCCCGGAAGGTAGTCGACCCGTTAACGGCGAGCAGGGCGACGCCGTCGACTGCCGGTTGATTCCGGCCAGTCGCTCTGTCCCTCTCGCCCCGCTCGCGACGCTCCATGAGTGGGAGAGAGAGGCAGGAGGGCGGGCACAAGCTCCGGGTAACGAGCTTGCAGCGAAGCTTCCAGCCTTCCAGTGCCTTCCAGCCTCGATGAGGCCACGCTCGACTGCGCGACTAGACTGGGCTAGACGGTAGACCGGTCCCCGCAGGGACGTTACACCGCCTTTTAAACCTTTCTGGAGGTGCGAATGTCCCGGACGCGCGGAACGTAGCTGGGGCGGGGTGGGGCGGGGCGGGGCGGGGCATGTCTGCTCGACGAGCCTGGGGCGCAGACCCGGCCGGTGCGCCGGGAAACAAGTGCCTAATTTGGCCGGCAAAGAGGGGAGTCGCGCAGCAACGCCAGCAACGCAGCCCCGCTACACTGGGAGAAAAGGGTCGAAATCTGGAGCGAGCAGCAGGTCCTGAGGATCGGCGCCTCGCACGGACGCCCAGCCAGGCCCCCCCACGTACTTAACTAAGCGGTGTAAACCAAACTAGTCCTTTTCAAAACAAACAAAAATCATCATTGCAAAAGTACTCTGTTTTCGGCAGCGCCACTTCGTTGCGCGCCTAATGAAGGATGCAACAACACGAAAGGGTAGGGCCCTTCGTTAAGCGAGCGGTTTTAATGCGAACGCCTGGCCGGGTACCGAGAAGCGAGCAACCCTTTCCCGCCTTCATTGCCGCCCCTTTATTACCCCCACCCCCGGCCGAGCCTCGGCCCTACACCGGAGTGAGGCATTCCGCCGCGGGAAGCGCCCGAGAAGCCTAAAGCCACGGTGCACACCGTGCCTAAAGCCTAGAGACGCGAATTGCTTTAAAATATGAAAATATTCGCCGCTACCGCCATTGCATAATGTTGTAGGCGGCGGTGTGTTGCCTGCCTTGGCTGGATGCCCGGCTGGCTGCCTGGCTGCCTGCAGGGGACGCGCCACGCCCGAAACAGCAAACACGTTGAGCATTCCCTCTCGCTTTTGGAAGCACTGTCGATGCCATTACCAAAGCACGGCGCGCTGTCTGTGTCCCTCTGTCTCCTTCTACTGCACTGTGCCAGAGTGGCTCACCTAGGCTCACGACGGTTCAATTGGCCACCGCCAGATCAAAGGGCGGTTCTGCAGCATCACGTTCCTAGCCCCATTCTGACGCATTCTGTCGCATTCCCCGCGTCCTCGGGCTGTGGAATGCCTGGGGGAAACCTGTCCTTTGCTCGATGGCGCTGATGGCTACGATCTTTGTGTGCTCCAGAATCGCAGACGATCGAGGACTTCGGCGCGGCGCTGCACCTGATGCGGGCGGACCTGGAGCACCTGCGTTCCGTGTTCCTGGCGGTTGAAAACGGCGACCTCGGCATGCTCAAGAGTCTGGGCATCAAGGACTCGGAGCTCGGCGACGTCAAGTTCTTCCTGGAGAAGCTCGTCAACACCGGCTTCCTGGACTAGGGCGGACTACACTGATGACAACGCATATGATTGTAAGGCGAAATCGTAAAAGTAAAGATGGTTTCATTCCCTGTGATATAATCATATCTAATTTGGTGTCTACGAATTTAGATGTTTGAAAATAAGTAACGAATCGTCATAACGCAAGATGTATTTTGACCAGAACGTTGTACTCCTCCTCTCTTGACCTGTACAAAATGTAAAAAGTGTCTTTCCCTTGTGCACAACTTTTTCTCATTCGGCTTTCTGCTGTCAAGTCCTTAGTCCATACAATTTTGATAGTCGTTTCTAAATTCTCGCATAGACCAGGAGTATTTTTATGAACGTTTACAAAACGCCTTTATTCCTAGTTTCAAAAAGACTTTGGTTCGTTTGCTATTGCCGCTCCTGAGACTCGAACCACAGAACTAAATGACAAGCGAATGACCAAATTGAGGTCATGCCAAAGATGAGACGGAGGAGTGCACAAACACACAATATCAGCATCCAGGCCTGCAACAGGGAAGGTCCTTTTTCTTTCCTTTTTTAAATCTATACAGGGCCCGGGAAAATGTTCTAAAAATCACAAGCTCGCTCGCAGCAAAATTTTATCGCACACAGAGGTACGGAATTGATGCCTGACGTTATGGTGCACATTCGAGTAGTTTACGGGTACGTAATGCACCTTGAAACTCCTGAATTTGAACGAATGACGTAAATGAAAGTCGTCTTCCCTGTTGCAGAGCAAAGCAACAAAGTCTTTAACTTTCCTGTTGTGATAGAGTTAGTCAAACAGTGATACTGCTCGGGCGGAGTCATAGTTTTTACCTACATAAATTTTCTTGACTAGTACAACTTGGTTGAAGAGTGAAGTGGATTCACTCCATGTCGCTTTCAAGATTTCACTTAAATCGACATACATATCATACCACTGCAAATTTGTTTTTTTGCAAGTACTACACTTATTATCGAAGTAACCACTGTATAAAGCACTGCTTCTATCTATTTGCAGTAATTGTTTGATTGTATAATATTGTTTTGTATCCAACAGCAGAGCTGTTTGGAGGTCATTAATGAGGAATGAATGTATGTTTTGTAACAAGTTTTACTTTCGTGTTACAAGGGATTGGCTAGAGATTTCGTGTGCGATTTTTTCCCACGGTTAGCTCGATGCTTACAATTTTGAAGCACGAATCAACATATCATTTTTAATTTGAATTGATGACTTAGAGTTCATGTTTTTTCTTTATTGAATTCTTTGTGTATCTCAAATTTGTTGCTGTTAAACACTATTTCAATATAAGACATATCATATTTTATTCAGACTATTGAGTGAAACATATCACAGTAACAATCAAGTCCAAAATACATATCATAACTATCAGTTGGCTATAGCCATCTTTTTGATGTTTTCCCCATTATATTGATGTATTTTACTCGAAGCCATTTAGGACTTCATATCTGTCAATTTTTTGCGGTTTGTGTATTGCATGGCGCTACTGTTCTCTGTCCTGAATTTTCTCTCTTGAAGACTTTGTTTCAAATTTATCGCACATGTCTTTTGACTTGTAGTTTTAAGGATGTTTGAGGGTGGTGTGATCAGTTTATTTCCAAGGTTTCTTGGGCACTCTCTGTTGTTCAGAAGTATGCTCAGGCCGTGAGACAAATTCTTGAATGATAGATCGTCTGCATTACATCAATATGACTACCGTGTCCGGGAAAACTTCCAAATAAGCACATTTGTTTTGAATTGGCAGGAACTAACAGAGCCCCTCCTGCCTTCATTTTGTTTCACACCCGGAAGATGTGTTTACCGAAGCCCACAATTTTATTATTTAATTTCTTTTAATTGGTTGAGAAGCTTTGACATGTAATTGGCACGATATTCTGACGAGCATTCGGGGATCCAGTAATGATGGCCTTCTGTCATCGCCATTATTAGCCCTGTCTTACTGTCGCTTCAACTGCTCTACTCGAGTGGGTAAAACTTGACACTAATCCATTGACGTCTTTATGGTTGCGTGTATAGTCATTTGGACTTGACGTGGGTACCTGCTTCTCACAACTTTAAGCCTAACCTAGACCTAAGGGAACTAAAAGTAAATACTTAGGACATAGGACTCCCCTTTTACAATTACCTATTTAAGGATATGGGAAGCCGCCCGAGGGCTCGCCCCCACTGCCCCGCCCCGCCGCGGCGCGCCGCCCGCCAGCGGCCCTTCCCCACGGCGATTTTCATCGTCCGAATCGTTCTGGGGGACGGCCACTCGGCCTGGCCGGCCCCGCCAGGGCGCCGCTAGGGCCCCGCCCGCAGGCCGGGCCGCCCCGCGCGGCCTCCCCGTCAGTAGATGTTTGACGGCGCGTTGTTGTTAACTTAAAGTAGATTTATCCAAATGTGCGAGGGGTTCAAAATGGAATCAGCTTCTTTCTCTAGGTGTGCAAGTGGCTGCGATAGGCGCCGCTTGACGCGTTGCGTTCGATTTTCAAATTTACATTTGTTTCCTATTCTTAGCTTTTTGTCCACTGTGAAGTCCAGACGCTGACGCTGCCAAACGGTGGCCTGACACGAAACTCACCATCCTCATCGAGCGGAGCGTTAGCGTAGGGACGTTTAAGAGGACTTCTTAAACCAATATATTCCTGTTAGCTTTGAAATTTTATAAACAAAATAAAAAACATACAAAATTACATTAGTGTTATGTACCCATGGGCGGAGTCATGAATTATTTAAGCGCAGTTTGACGAAATCAGCCACACTATCTTTACCATCGCTTTTCTGTCAAAGGCCCTGAGCATTCTCCTTTCTAACTAGGCGAGAAATTCGTATATTTTATTATTATTTTATTATTATAAATAATTGTTCATCGATGGCCTTGTCATTGGGAATGAATAAATATGTTCAAAATTTGATTTAAAATGTTAATGTCTGGTTACAAAGGTCTGAAATCGTGGGTGAGAACGTAATCCTAAAAGTTTTAGCAGGAGAGAGTTGAATGAATCGGTGACTACTTTATCATAGATTGCTCCTTACTTAAACTTTACTTTGTGAGTTTTTATTTTCAAGTATTTTTGTTGATATTGGCGGTTATCGAGAAAAATAAATTTCTAACAAAGCAGTTACAAACAGTTGGTTTTCATTCTACTACCCGTGAAAAGCGCACATTGTTCACAGGATGCACAGCCACAATTCGTCGTCGCGAGACTAACACACGCCCTGAACCAGCCAGAACCTATTCGACGATTTACAAAGTCACAACAGCACCGCTGACACGAGAATATTTGTTGACGTTGTTAGTGTCGAGAGGCACGGCCAAACAGCCAAACATTGCTGCAGTGTAGGCCGTCGTAATAATCATGGAGCCCGGGCCATCTTGTTGACGGCGCGGTGCTCGGCGCGGTGCTCCGGGCCAGCTCGTTACCCTACATTGTGGGGCGCCACGTCGCGACAATGCGGCCGCCAGGCCGACCGCCAGGCCGACACCAAGCAGGCCCTCGGCGAGGCCAGGCAGTCCGTGACCATTGTGCGCGCCACGCCGTCGGCAGCCGTCGGCCGGATGGATCCGCGCCATCCGCGCCGCCGACACGTCCAGAGGGTTGTATCCGGCGCCGTAACCCTCCCCACGCCTCTCAAGCACCGCCGCAACCTCGGCCTACTTGAGCACGACGGCTGCAGCGGCGCCCCGTTCCTCCAAGGCCGCCACTCTTAATGAACGCAAGCCTCTTGACGCACCGAGGCCGACGCCGAGCGCCGACGCCGAGCGCGCCCGGAGGGTAGGCGGCCCAACGTGCCCCTCCTGCCGCGCTGCCGTTATCTCGGCTACGTGCCGCAGCCCGCAGCGCAGCTTGCCGCAGCCTCGCCACCGCAAGGGGGATCGTGACGCGCTTTTAATCGTTGAAAACTTGCTTGTAGCGGCCGGGGAGTAAGGCATCGACGGGCACGTGCTGGCCTCGAACAGGGCTCTCGTCGCGCTGCACAGTGGGCCAGCAACCGGCGCTGGCTGCCGGCGGCTACGTGAGGGGGGCGTGGCGGTCGACGCGGTGGTCCAGGCGGCGCGTGTGGCGCGGCGGCTTGAAGCGCGTGTCCTCGACGGGGGGCTCGTGCAGCGCGACGTCCACGGGGGTGGTGAAGAGCGCGTTGCGCCGGAAGGGCTGCGCCACGTCGTGGGCCTCGCGCGCCGTCACGCCGTCCCAGCACGCGCCGCGCGGCGGCAGCATCTGCTTCTGGTACCAGTACGAGACGGCCGGGTCCTCGTACAGCGGGTGCCTGGCGAACACCGTGGTATCTTTCTCTCTCTCGCACTCAAGCGCCGGCTCCAGACGCGAGACGGAAAGACCGCTTGGAAACAGCCTGAAGCCACCCCGCGCTCTGGAGCCAACAGCCATGCGGGCGTCGCGAGGGGCGTTCCATTTCAGCAACACTAAATTTTGAAACATTTCCAATCGCAGGTGGGCATTTAAAATTAAAATTGTACCCAGCGAGCATCTATCTCCTCGGAAAAACTATACTCTGACCAGAAAACGAAGAGCCCTGAGTTCTCGCGGTTTATGGCATCTGCCGCCTTGGATAGCATTGCAGGTAGCGCTGAGCGCGAGGACCCAGGGCTCTTCGTTTTCTGGTCAGAGTATACTACCCCACACGGCCTCTCACCGTGAGTGGCAGCACTCAGTGGCCCAGTGTTCTTGGTGCGCTACAGGGAGGCCTCCGGGGGCCACGCCGCGCATGGGTACCTCCCGAAAGCGGGTTATTCTCCTCCGGGGAGCAATCGCCTAGGCGCGCCTCAGCAAAGTTTCAACTGGCGGCGGGGCCAGCCCTCCCCCTCCCTACCTGGCGTCCACCTCGCTGACGGGCTGGTCCGCCCGGCGCAGGTCCGCCTCCAGGGCCGGCGTGAAGTCGTCCCTGGCGTACTGGCCCGTGTACTCGGTGACGTAGGGCTCCACCTCGGGCGGGGCCAGCGCCTCTTGGCTCACCTGGAGGCCGCCAGACACTCGGGGTTGGTTTCCGGGTGCGGTGTGCGGTGGGTGGCCTGCCCTCCGGGCTCACAGTGGGCCAGAAGACCGATGGAGGTGGCAAAAATTTTGAGCTTTAGAGTCGCTAAACAGGACCCGAATCGAACGTGTGACTCCACCAATGGATTCCTCGTTCGGAGAGCAATCCATTGGTGGGGTCACACGTCCCGCTTAGCGACTCTGGAGCTCAAAACGCGTCTAGAACGGGTCTCCACGGGTCTTCTGGCCCACTGCGGGGCCCTTGGCTGCCCTCGGCACGCACCTTGAGGCCGTGCCGGTGCAGCAGGTAGTGCCACAGCAGGCGCGCGCGCCTGGACAGGGGCTGCGGGCAGGTGCCGGGCTTGGCGAAGAAGTGCTGGTGGGTGGTGAGGAAGTGGTCCTCCGCGGCCGGGCCGTCGCTGTTGAGGATCCACTTGGTGTCCACGAAGCGGCGGTCCACGGCGTCCCCGGCCACCTGGTTGGGGCGCACGCAGCGCCGGAAGTGGCGCACGGGGGGCTCGGGGACCACCTCGATGCGACTGCACTTGGCCACTGCGCACCGCGTGCAGTGTGTCAGACTCTCGTGAATGGCACGCCCAGTCGCGCCCAGCAGTGGCCCTGTCTGAGCCCTTCCAAGGTTGCACAGACCTTCCTCCGCCGTCGGCCCGATGCAGTCCTTCTCCTTCGGACGCTCCATCCTCGTGACGGAGAGGGTGTGCGGGGCGAAGGCGAACGGCGTGGGGCCGTTGCCAGGGAAACAGGCCTCGTTGTTGTGACGCCATGAGTTGACTGGTTCACAGGGTTCACAGGATATCAAATAAACATAAAAACATTTATTGGCAAGGGACATACATCACACTCACACCATGGCCGTCGTAAACCAGACGAAATATGACAAATGAACTCTTCGTGCCCATGCCAGAAAATTTTTAAACACTGTCGTCTGGGTTGCCGTCGTCGGGAACTCTGACGGGGTCCTCGCGGCGGTCGCACCACGGCCTCCGGCCGTCGAAGACCTCAGGGAGCACGTCGGCGAGCGGGTACCGCGGCGTGACGGGCCCCGCGGCGCCCCAGCCGTCGCGCCGCCAGCCCTGCACGTCCAGGCGGTCCACGAGGCTGAGCCTGGGCGGCGGGCGGGGCTGCTCCACGGGGGACTCGTGCAGGCCGAGGTGCGTCGGCGTGGTGAAGGCCGCGGTGCGGCGGAAGGGCCGCGTGGCGCAGTGCGCCGGCGACACCCTGGACAAGGGCATGCTGGTCCTGGCCGCCGTGCCGCTGCGCTGCCGGCAGTACCACAGGGACAGGGCGGGCTCCGAGGCGGACACGTCACACACCGGCTGCAGGGCCGACAGTGCCGCCCCCTCGCGGAGCTGCGGAGCAGCAAGCATGGCGTCATGGCAGTGCAGCATGGCTGTGCGGCGCAGTCAATCAAAGTCACAGCTGTTCTCGCTGTCTCTCTCGCAACGATCGTTTTCCTTACCTGGCGCTCCAGCGAGGGTTCGAATCCCGGCAGGCCGTGGATCTCCCCATACGTCGTCTCGTAGTCGGTGTGCGCCTCGGCGCGCTGCCGAGCGAGGAAGCTCTGGCGAAACCATAAAACACGAATAGCACAAGTCGCAACCCGGAGTGCCGAAATTTGTCCGTTAGCGTTCTACTCTCACCTCGGCCTGTAGCTTCTGGCACGCCTCCTGGTAAAACTTGCGGTACAGCGCGTGCTGCCGGCGCCCCTGCCGCTCAGAGATGGCGCTGCCGCTCGGTGCGGGACGCATCTTACCCGACAAGTTGTTGTCACCGCTGCTGTTTCACGTTGACGCCCACGCACGCCCACGCGCCTCGCGTCGGTTTGTTTGTGAGTTGCCATGCCGCCCTCGTCGCCGTCACGGCCAAGCAGGCCGCCAGGGCCGCCACCCTCGCCGTGGCCTCCACCTCCACCGCCCCCGCAGTGCGTCGATACCCCGCGCGCGGCGCCCGCCACGCCGCGGGCCGCGGCTATGCAGATGACGCCTTCGCGGCGACGGGGCGTGGGCGGGGATACCCCGCGCGACGGGGTCTACATAGGTAGTACGACAAAAAAATTGTGTCGGAAAAAATTCGGCTAGGTCGGACAAAAAAGGGTCGTACAATCTATGAGCACCGCGCGCGACGCGCTGCAGTGGCCCCTGAGACCAGAGGCGATTCGGGCCTCGGATAAGGAAGGGAGTTGGCATCGAACTTGCGATTACCTGCATTGCAACAGAACAGATTATCCTCGGCGATGTGTCAGGAACGGGAGCAAGCCTCGACACCCATTTTAAATCGACACCCGTGCCGTGCGGCCTCACCGATGTTACTCAGCGGCGGCGCCTTGGGGACGTCCTGGAGGCCCTGAACATGCACCGCGGCCGAGGCGCTGGCCCGGTCAGCTTGGAGAAAGCGAAGAAGCCTGTCCGCTGAATAAGCCCACTGCGGCCCGCCCCGCGGCCCCGCGGCCTGATGGTCCTAACTCGCTCCGCCGCTCCGCCATGGCTCTACGGCCGGCGCGGCCCGGTGGTGGGGCTGGAGGCCGCCGTCGTGCTGTCGTCCGCCGTCGGAGCGGTCTCCGCCGCGCCGGCGACTTGGCTGCGACTTGGCGTTCGGCCGCCTCGGCTCGCCTCGGCTCGTATCGGCTCGTACTTGAGCTCATTCACGGCGAGCAGCGAGCACGGCGTGCCCCAGTAGCCCCTTGTGGTGTGGTGGGGCCCGCCCTCGGCCCTCGCCTCTAAGCTCGTCTTATCTGGGGTCCTGTCGCCGTCGCCGTCCCATCACGCCGCCGTGCCGCCGTGCCGCCGTCTGCCATGGCTGCAGAGTGACTAGTCGGCACCGAGCCGCGTGGTCGACGCGGAGGTCCCAGTCCCAGTGGTCACCGGCGAGGTCGCCGCGCGGGAAACGCAGCAGCAGCTCGGTGAGTACCGAACCGGGGCCGGGTTCGAGTACCCGCCTCTCCTCGCCGGCATTTTCGTCCTGGTCCAAGCACCAAGTCCGGGCCGGGACCGGCGGAGGGAGGCAGGCCCTTTGCGGAGGGTGTCCCCTGTCACAGGCAACAGGAGATGCACCGCACCGCGATGGAGGACCCGCCAAAAAGGTTTCAAACGCCGCGCTCGCGTTTTGACTTCGCCTGTACCGAGAACCTAGCGATGATAACGTGTGGGCGTGACAGTAAGTAAAGTACCACGTGGGCCTAACTGAACCACACCACCGTAACCGAATCACGTTCAACTTCAACAACTTCCTCTCCTTGAGACCCTGGGTGTGTCCGCGCAACTGCCGCCTCATCACAGGTCGGCCAAGTTTTCGCGGGAAGGCGGAAATGGCGCTCTCTGATTGGCCGCCGGCATCGGCCTAAATGTAGTGTGATTCCTTTATCGCGACGCAAGGCACACCTACGTCGTCCTTGAGTACGTGATAGTACAGGCGCATCGAGCAGCCGGCCGGTACAGGCGGGGAAAGGCCCGGCTAGTCTTGTTGGTGTTTGTAACCTCTGGGATTTCCACCGGCCAAACGCCAGCCTTTGACGTAAATTCATTTGTTGTTCCAATACTGCATGGTTGGTGCGATTGTTATTGTACACCACACCCGTCATTGGCATTTTCCATCAGAACTAAGAAAAATTCCTACTGCATAGTACTTTCTCAACAGTGTATAAAACACACTTGGTCGTTTCCAGCCCACGAGTCGCTACTTTTCTTTCGGCAATGAGTAATTCTCTTCCAGCAGACGGCTGTGCATTTCCCCTGCCGGCCCCGACGGCTTGCACGTTGTTTCCAAAGTCGAGTGTTGGCATAGGGCGACCTACTCGACCTTGTTTGCCTCGGCCGGCTCGCTAGTTTTGCCCTGTCTTTCCCATTAGTGCAGAAAAGGGCGAAGGGAAGGGAAAGGGTGACGACACTGTACTTGCAACACTTCCAAGGTGTGTCTTTGCAGTGTGGCAGGCGGTGTCCGCGGCGTCCCCATGTGGCGCGGGGCCGGCGGCGTCCCCGACGGGCTGCCCCTGGCGGAGATGGGCGAGTCCAACCACCACGACCACGGCCGCAAGGACTCGGCGTGCGACAACGACCTCTGGCCCCGTGAGTGCGAGGCGCAGGGTGGCGGATGGAAACTGAGTTACTCCGACGGTATTCGAACCCGGACCCTGCTCGCAGCCGACCCGGACCTGCCGCTGCTGCCGCCGCCGCCGCGGCCCTTCGTGCGCATGGGTAGCACGATGACGGGGTCGGAGGCCTCGCTGCCGGGGCCGCGCCGCAAGGAGCAGCGCCGCCAGGAGTGGCTCAACTCGGAGATCCTCAACGCCGTGCTGAGCGGCGCGGAGGTGGAGAAGGTGGCGCAGTGAGTCTCGCAGTCTCGCACCGCACGCCGTCCCTCTCGCGCCCACGAGTGCGAGAGAGACCGCGATGCCTAGAATCAGTGAGCTGCGGGCTGGTTCCGAAACTAGTGCTTCGTCGCTGCGTCCACGGAACGCCCCGTGAGTGGGAGAAAGACAGCGACAAGGTCGTTTCGGAATCAGCCTGCGGGTGGAAAAAGTGTCTCGAAAGCGAGGACTTGAACCCGCGCTTGTTTCTGTCCGTCCCCCAGGCTGATGGAGAACGGCGGCGAGGCCAACGCCGTGTGCAGCCCGACGCGCACCTCGGCCCTGCACTTGTGCGCCATCCGCGTGATGCTCGCCCCGGGCGCGCAGGCCGGCGCCGTGGCCGTGGCCTCGCTGCTGCTCAAGCACGGCGCCGACATCGCGCACCGCGACCACTGCGACCGCACCGCCCTGCACCTGGCGGCGTGGGCCGGCGCCTCAGAGCTCCTCGACCTCCTGCTCAAGAGCTACCAGGTGAGTGGACGCCTTGGTGGACGTCTTGGAGGACGTCGCCGACGTCGCCGTCGAAGCGCCAAACACCGCGGCCGCGTTCGTCCGGACGACCGTTCGCCGAAATCGAATACCCGACGCCGGGTCCGAGCACCGTCTGCAGACTGATTCCGCTTTCGTCGCTCTGTCTCTCTCGCACCCCTGCGCAGCGCCCCACGCTGGTGAGAGAGACAGAGCGCCGAAAGCACGGCTCGCGTAAAAACGGCCCCGCACTCAAAGGCATGACAAGATTCGCGGCAATTTGGACGGCGAGCGAACTGAAGCGGCCCCGTGGTCGGCGGGTCCGCGCAGAGCGGCGCAGAGCCCCGATACCGAATTCCTATCCCATCGCCGGGTTCAGAAGTGCAGGGCATCGCGCCCCATCGCGCGGTTTACGCCCACCGCCTCTTCCGTCCGCGGTTCGATTCCCGGGAAAGTCATCGCGTGTACAGTACCGCTGGTGCAGCCGTGCAGATAACTCTAAAACCGCGGAAAAAAAAAAAATAAAAAGAAAGAAAAAGGAAAGGTAGCTATGAAAGAGAATTATAATCATTGGGCAGACATTTAAATGGTCTGATGATGATTTCAGCACACACCTGAAGCACCTGAACACACACCGCACACCTGTTTTCACTCGCGTTCGCTCACCAACACCAACGCACACCTTCACGCTTGGCTCTTGAACCCAGGACCACAGACCTTCGCAAAATTTTAATCACTCCCTAGTTTACTGCGAGACGTCCCTTCGTCATACGGGCCCGCCCGGCCCCCCTCGGGGGGGGGTGGGCCTCGCTTCGAACCCCCGAAAAAAAATGGGGCGGACAGGAAAACCACCTGAAAAAACCTGGCGAGAACGTGCCCCGTATATTCCCGGGGTCGTCCTTTCCATGCCGCACTTTTCCCTTTCCCCTTCAGAATGTCTGCACTGATTTGGGGCGGAACTGCGTGCCGCGGGAAGGGGGAGGGTTTCCAGGGACGGGGGCGACACGTGCCCTCCCAGTGCAGCGGGCCGCAGCGGGAGGGCCACGATGGAGAGGGACAGCATGGCGGCGAGCCGGCGGCGCCACGGCCCACCTGGAAGACTGGAGGCGCCTGGAAGCGCCGGTCTGGGCGGGGCATTATACTCTCGTGACCATTGACTCCCAGGAGTACACCATCCCTAGGGACAGTGTACTCTCCCCTTAGGGAGAGTACACCATCCCTAGGGATAGTGTACTCCCCTACCTCGAGAGGGGGGGAGTACATTGACCCTAGGGATAGTGTACTCCCGGGGGTACACTATCCCTAGGGTCAATGTACTCCCCCCCTCTCGAGGTAGGGAGTACACTATCCCTAGGGATGGTGTACTCTCACTAAGGGGGGAGTACACTGTCCCTAGGGATGGTGTACTCCCCCGGGGGTGTACACCATCCCTAGGGCCAATGTACTCCCCCACTAGCAGGGGAGTACTTGGTCCCTAGAGATATTGTACTCCCCTACCAGCATGGGAGTACATGTTCTCCCCTTCCAAGAGAAGGGTAGGGTCAAGAGAAGGGTAAGATCTGACGCGAGTTGAGTAAGATCTGTCAGGGCCGCCGGAAGTACTTTCTGGTAGGGAGGGGGGCGAAATTTTTATGAAAAATTGTTGGGTTGCCTACCGTTAAGAGGCAACACCCAATACGGTTTAGACTTCTCTAATAGTGTTCCAAATCCAGCGAGCGAAGCGAGCTTAAAGCAAAAATTCAAACAATTCTAGACTTTAACACAACTTTTGCCATTTTGAGAGCTTAATCACACGCTTTATTGGTAGGCGAAGCGAGCCAAACGGCAAAATAATGGAGGAAAATTAAGAAAACCTGCGAGCGAGGCGAGCAAGAAGCCAAAAATCAAAGAATTTGCGACTTTGCTATATTTTTCTCTCTATTTCGAGCTCAAAATAGCACTTTAGTGTCTGAAAGTGGGGAGGGCGATGCCACCCCCACCAGATTTTGGGGGGGGCAAGTCCCCCCCCCCCCCCCCCCCCCCCACTTTCCCGGGCCCCCTTTCCAGCGTCAAACAGCGAGGCTGTGCCAGCGTCAAACAGCGAGGCTGTGCCAGCGTCAAACAGCGAGGCTGTGCCAGCGCAAAAAGCGAGGCTGTGCCAGCTCAAACAGCGAGGCTGTGCCAGCGTCAAACAGCGAGGCTGTGCCAGCGTCAAACAGCGAGGCTGTGCCAGCTTTAAACAGCGAGGCTGTGCGAGCGTCAAACAGCGAGGCTGTGCCAGCGTCAAACAGCGAGGCTGTGCCAGCCTCAACAGCGAGGCTGTGCCAGCTCAACAGCGAGGCTGTGCCAGCTCAAACAGCGAGGCTGTGCCAGCGTCAAACAGCGAGGTTTTGCCAGCCTCACACAGCGAGGCCGTGCCAGCCTCACACAGCGAGGCGTGCAGCTCAAACAGCGAGGCTGTGGGCCCCCAGGGGTCCCCCCAAACAGCGAGGCTGTGCCAGCCTCAACAGCGAGGCTGTGCCAGCCTAACAGCGAGGCTGTGCCAGCCTCACACAGCGAGGCTGTGCCAGCCTCAACAGCGAGGCTGGCCAGCGTCAAACAGCGAGGCTTGCCAGCCTAAACAGCGAGGCTGTGCCAGCCTCAACAGGAGGCTGTGCCAGCGTCAAACAGCGAGGCTGGCCAGCGTCAAACAGCGAGGCTTTGCCAGCGTCAAACAGCGAGGCTGTGCCAGCCTCAACAGGAGGCTGTGCCAGCCTCACACAGCGAGGTGTGCCAGCCTCACACAGCGAGGCTGTGCCAGCTCAAACAGCGAGGCTGTGCCAGCCTCAACAGCGAGGCTGTGCCAGCGTCAAAAAGCGAGGCTGTGCCAGCGTCAAACAGCGAGGCTGTGCCAGCGCAAACAGCGAGGGTGTGCCACGTCAAACAGCGAGGCTGTGCCACCCCAAAAGCGGGCTGTGCCCGCGTCAAACAGCGAGGCTGTGCCAACGTAAAAAAGCGAGGCTGTGCCAGCGTCAAACAGCAAAGGGTGTGCCAGCCTCAAAGCGAGGCTGTGCCAGCTCAACAGCGAGGCTTGCCCGCGTCAAACAGCGAGGCTGTGCCAGCGTCAAACAGCGAGGCTGTGCCAGCCTCCCCAGCGAGGCTGTGCCCGCTCAACAGCGAGGCTGTGCCAGCGTCAAACAGCGAGGCTGTGCCAGCCTACACAGCGAGGCGTGCCAGCCTCACACAGCGAGGCTGTGCCAGCTCAAACAGCGAGGCTGTGCCAGCCTCAACGCGAGGCTGTGCCAGCGTCAAACAGCGAGGCTGTGCCAGCGTCAAACAGCGAGGCTGTGCCAGCGTCAAACAGCGAGGCTGTGCCAGCGTCAAACAGCGAGGCTGTGCCAGCGTCAAACAGCGAGGCTGTGCCAGCTCAAACAGCGGGCTGTGCCAGCCCCACACAGCGAGGCTGTGCCAGCCTCACAAGCGAGGCTGTGCCAGCGTCAAACAGCGAGGCTGTCCAGCGTCAAAAAGCGAGGCTGTGCCAGCGTCAAACAGCGAGGCTGTGCCAGCGTCAAACAGCGAGGCTGTGCCAGCTCAACAGCGAGGCTGTGCCAGCCTCACACGCGGGCTGTGCCAGCGTCAAACAGCGAGGCTGTGCCAGCGTCAAACAGCGAGGCTGTGCCAGCGTCAAACAGCGAGGCTGTGCCCGCGTCAAACAGCGAGGCTGTGCCAGCCTCAACAGCGAGGCTGTGCCAGCGCCCAAAAAGCGAGGCTGTGCCAGCCTCACACAGCGAGGCTGTGCCAGCCTAACAGCGGGGCTTGGCAGCGTCAAACAGCGAGGCGTGCCAGCGTCAAACAGCGAGGCTGTGCCAGCCCACACAGCGAGGCTGTGCCAGCGTCAAACAGCGAAGCTGTGCCAGCGTCAAACAGCGAGGCTGTGCCAGCCCACACAGCGAGGCTGTGCCAGCTCAAACAGCGAGGCTGTGCCAGCTCAAAAGAGGCTGTGCCAGCGTCAAACAGCGAGGCTGTGCCGCCTCAAACAGCGAGGCTGTGCAAACTCAACAGCGAGGCTGTGCCAGCGTCAAACAGCGAGGCTGTGCCAGCGTCAAACAGCGAGGCTGTGCCAGCTCAAACAGCGAGGCTTTCCGCTGACCAACAGCTTGTGCCCTTTTAAACCAGGCCGCCCGGCAAAGCGAGGCGGCAGGCTCAACAGAGGCTGTGCCAGCGTCAAACAGCGAGGCTGTGCCAGCTCAAACAGCGAGGCTGTGCCAGCTCAAACAGCGAGGCTGTGCCAGCTCAAACAGCGAGGCTGTGCCAGCGTCAAAAAGCGAGGCTGTGCCAGCTCAAACAGCGAGGCTGTGGGCCCCCAGGGGGCCCCCCAAAAAGCGAGGCTGTGCCAGCCTCAACAGCGAGGCTGTGCCAGCCTCAACAGCGAGGCTGTGCCAGCCTCACACAGCGAGGTGTGCCAGCCTCAACAGCGAGGCTGTGCCACTCAAACAGCGAGGCTGTGCCAGCTCAAAAAGCGAGGCTGTGCCAGCGTCAAACAGCGAGGCTGTGCCAGCGTCAAAAAGCGAGGCTGTGCCAGCGTCAAACAGCGAGGCTTGCCAGCCGTCAAACAGCGAGGCTGTGCCAGCTCAAACAGCGAGGCTGTGCCAGCGTCAAACAGCGAGGCTGTGCCAGCGTCAAACAGCGAGGCTGTGCCAGCGTCAAACAGCGAGGCTGTGCCAGCCTCCCAGCGAGGCTGTGCCCCTCAAACAGCGAGGCTGTGCCAGCCTCAACAGCGAGGCTGTGCCAGCCTCACACAGCGAGGCTGTGCCCGCTCAAAAAGCGAGGCTGTGCCAGCCTCAACAGCGGGCTGTGCCAGCGTCAAACAGCGAGGCTGTGCCGCCTCAACAGCGAGGCTGTGCCAGCCTCAACAGCGAGGCTGTGCCAGCGTCAAACAGCGAGGCTGTGCCGCGCAAACAGCGAGGCTGTGCCAGCTCAAACAGCGGGCTGTGCCGCCTCACCAGCGAGGCTGTGCCAGCGTCAACAGCGAGGCTGTGCCAGCGTCAAACAGCGAGGCTGTGCCAGCGTCAAACAGCGAGGCTGTGCAAACGTCAAACAGCGAGGCTTGCCAGCGTCAAACAGCGAGGCTGTGCCAGCCTCACACAGCGAGGCGTGCCAGCCTCAAAAGCGAGGCTTGCCAGCGTCAAACAGCGAGGCTGTGCCAGCGTCAAACAGCGAGGCTGTGCCAGCTCAAACAGCGAGGCTGTGCCAGCGTCAAAAAGCGAGGCTGTGCCAGCCT